GCTTTGTCGAAACGGGACCAAAATAGGACGTCCAGAGGACGTCATTCGAAGAACGTCCTAGTGTTCACTGTAATCGGAAGTCCAGTGGACGTCCTATTTAGGTCCGGGACCAACCGGACCAACAAGGGACCAAATCAGGACGTCCATGAGACGTCCTGTGCTATCTGGGAGACCATTGGAATAGTTAAGAAATAAAACTACAAAGAAAAATAACTTTTTTTTATAAAGCAGTTAAAAATATGATGAAAAAAAATCAATAATATTTATAAATGGGACAAAATTTTAATTTTTCTTTTGGTTTTGTCTGACTTTTTCGAGGATTTCAAATCTCTGTTTGCATATTTAAGAGTATAAAAAATTCTGAGTCTTATACATAATTTAATGATGTACATTTTCGCAAATTGTTGGCAAGGATGACCAAATTCTATTTTGCTCATCTCAAAAAGGTATGCGTTGGAAATTCTAGGCTTAGTTGACAAACTATCAAATAGAGTGTAGCGACATGCACTACATATCTTTATCATTTTTATTACGTCATACGAATTAAATTGTTGTCATCATTTAGACAACCTTTCGTGGCAGTTCTAGCAAGACAAAAGATTGAACTCATCGGGAGGGAAACAAGAATTGTTTATTTATAATTATTTTTTTTTTTTTTTGATAATTTATATTTATGTCATGACATAGAGTTTAATATACGAAATTATACATACACATTTTTATACATATACATTTTTATTTATATACATTTTTATTTATTGATGGGATACAATTATTACGGAGAGTATTATTATTAACATTTAAAAGATCCCACATAGAGATATACATATTTTTTCTAATTTGAAAATATAAAAGAAATTTTTCGCGGGGAGATTTTAAATTGGCAAACACCTTTTCTTCAGAGTCGATGCTTTAAAATGCGCTAACAAGTTAGAATTATTAAGTAAATTGGATTCTTCTGAGAAATTACGCAAATTTCGCAAGAGTGGATATATAATCAGTTTTTGATTAAATACATTTTTTTGAGTGGTCACATTTAGCTCCCTATAGTTACATTCAGAAATCGTTATTTCCCCAAATGATTGTTTTGAAATATATTTAATTTTCATTAAGCGGAGGACTTGTTATCCTAAGGGAAAAACGAATCCCGGGATTCCTTTCCCGTGTATACCCCACTGCCGCTAGTGCAAAAGAGCCGCCACTGTTTACCTAGTCTACGAAGCAATGGCACTTGTAGAAAAAAGTAAATATTGGACTTTCAAATTGAGAAAAATATACAAGTTATTGTATTTGAAACAACATAGTTGTCCTATATGAAATGTCATATTCGATTAGATTGGAAGTAATCCAAAAAAAAGATGAATACACAGAAAGTAAATATAAAAATTAGAAGAAGAGTGATAAAAACTAGATTTCATTATCTAAACTAGTTTAAAAGTTACATAAATTTAAAAAAAATGTTAAAATATAACAGAAACTCGATATTTCAGGAATTTCTAGAAATTTTTTTTCATAAAAAAAAAACAACAAAAATATTCTATTATAATTAAAGTACCTTTAATAATTTATGTACAAATGAAACACTTTGTTTAATAGAAAAAAAAAACATAAATATACATAGAAACATAAATTGATACTTATTAAAACAGCAGATATTATAGGCACTAAAAATATTCACCTCTAATAAGTTGAAAAACAAAAACGGGGAAAACTTACTATAACTTCGATTAAAAAGTGTATTAATACATGTTATTTTACTCATTTGTTCCTTCTTGAAAGCGAGCCCTACCCTACCCTCATTGAACCAAACCATAACTGATTTTGGAAAAAAATCACCAGTCATTCCAGAAAATGAACGAGAACAGCCTCTAAAAACATTTTAAACATTAATGTTTTATACTAAAATTAAATTCAATTTATTACTTTAAGGGACTTCTTTTATTTAATTTTAAATTTGATAGTTTAAAATTTCCTCTTGCTAACAACATAATTAGGCATTCCAACGACCTGTCAAACAATATGTGCCAGTGGGAAATTCTTGTATATCTAAGGGGGTAGCGACATAGTCTTGCAACTTGGACGCTATTTTTATTCGAAGTAGTAGTCGCCAAGCCTGCCAATTTATGAAGAAATGTATAGGTCGGTTTTTTAAATAATATTTTTATTGTGTTTGACATAAAATATTTAAATGTAATCCATTATTCATGATTTTACGTAAAGTAGATAGAATACACCGTATGTCGCCACCCTTAGATATACCAAACCTTCCCACCGGCAATTCATTTGTTTGGAATACCTAATTATTAAGTAGTTAGTAAATAGGTTTGTTTTGGTTCACGTTCTAGAATTGTTCCAGAACCATGCGCAGAACAATTGCGCAATGGTCCTTAATTCTGAACAGTTCTGTAACCATTCCATTGTATTCGAAACCAAAACACTGCCAGAACAGTTGAATGTCAAAAAGTAATTTGTAAATAAGAAAAAAGATATAACACAGGGTCAGTGTCCAGGTAAGAAAGAGGCCATATAATATTGTAAAACGTAGATAAATTAAATAATTTATTCGCAAAAAATCAACATCAATTAATCTCCATTCTCATTAGTCATTCGAAAATTCCTTGTAAAAAATCCAACACAAAACATGGGCAGGATCTCAAAATCAAAATTACTTGCAAAAAAGCGCAAGCGCAAACATATCAATTCTGAAACAGTTCTCGCTTTAGGCCAAAACCGACGTTACTGTTCGAGAATGGTTATGGAACCATTCCCAAGAAAAACCAAAACACAGAACTTACAGGTTTGGAACAGTTCTGGCGAAACCAAAACAGCAAATATCTACTGCGCAAGCTCCAAAGGTTCTGGAAGAGTTCTAGAACAGTTACGAAAATGAACCAAAACAAAGCTATTATGTTTTTCCAAACCGTGACTAATTGTAACTTTTTACAGTAGGTACATAACCAATTTACCTAAAAATTAATATGATAATTAGTTTTTAAGAAGGTCAAGCACAATATTAAAAAAAAATTATTTCAATATATGTATGTTATACATACCCATGGTATAAAAATAAAATACATACCTGCACCAGCCTTCTGAAGCTCTCTATTGTTTTCAAATTTTAATATAAGCACAATAGTAGGTTCTTCTACATTATTTGGTCCTCCCAGTTCCATCATTAAGTATTTTGATGTATTTTCAATTTTTTTTAAACTATCGTCTCTACTTTTTTCCAAATACACGATAAATGACAATATGTATTCTACTTCTTTAAGTTTATGGGCTTAGTTTTCACTATCTACCCAGTCTTTTGTTTTGCTTTTGTCAGTTTTTCATTAGGAAACTGCAATTGCTGAGTCTGGCTCTAGACCATCGTTTCCTTACTTTTGCTTTATACTTCTTCCTGTAGTTTATAATATTATGTTGCTTTTGCTTTATTCGTTTATTAATGAAGCGTCTAAGGAATCTGAATTGCTAAGATAATCTACCGAGCAAAGCGATGCATACAAGGGATGTTTTTTAAGCATTTTGATATTTATTGTGTTGATGTTGTGCGTGTTATTTCTACATTCAAAGAATATGTCGTCGGCTTACTGCCAAAACGAGATAAGTTACATTTTGTTAGTTTTGAGCGTAATTTTGAGTAAATTAAGTTTTAACCTACACTAAAACAACTTCATGAAAGAAAACATTATGTAGTAAAATAAAATAGATTGTGGTACTATAAACATAATTATTACCAGAAATAAAAAAAAAACATAATTAGCAGATGTATAGCTAGAACAATTTTTTTCCTGTACATAACCTATTTTGGCTGAACTTGGAAATTCAGGAAAAAAAGACACTTATTTGGTTTTGCACTCTAAGCATGCTAATGTAGCGATAAAATAAACTGCCAAAATGAGATAATTGACACTTATCTGTTTTGTATATACGCATAGGTATTCTAACAATCGTCTAAACTTCAATAGCCAAAATAAGTTAAATGGCATATGAAATTCTTACTTTTTGTTAAATGTGCACTTAACTTGTTTTAGCCGTACAGTTTTGAGCAAAATGAATTATTGCAAAAATAAGCCTACATTTTTCAGTAGTTCTCCATTGTCCAAAACTTATCTGGTTTTTGCAGTATATTTTTATAACCATCTTGGGTACAAAAATGCACTTAACGCAAAATGGTAAAAATGTACTCATCCTGTTTTGGCAGTAAGCCGACGATGTATTGTAATGAACTTGTTTGACCACAATGACAAGAGGGAGACTTCATATGTCCTATTCTTTGTAGATGAATTGGTGTCCAATAAATAGAATAATGTCTTATTCTATATCTGCACATGGTAGATTAACGTCCTGAAACCATGGTTTTTTTAAAGTTTGTCTTGGATGTTGTATAAGTGTTGTCCTTCTGTTTTGCATATTTTATTCTACTCCTCTTTCCATATTATTTTTAACTCTTGGTAATAAGTCTCTATAGTCTACTTCATTAATACCTATTTCTTTTTCCTTTCTGCCAAAATTTGCTAATCTATCTGCTACCTATATTTGCGTGTCTCGGAATCCATGTCCAACAGATCTTTTTGTTCTTCACTAGTAGCGTTAGGATTGGCCAGGAGGTTGAACGGGACAGGAGCGTAGTTTTGTTAGGGTGCTTTTAAATGACATTTAAGCATGTTGAACTGTCACTAATCGAACTAAACTGAACGCTAAAACGCAATAATTGTTGCCTGTGCTACTAATTTCTTGATTTCTAGCGTCACTGACAAAATATCATTCATCGTGTTCAAATATCACCGAATGATATGTGTCAGATGTCAAAGTCACTACACTGTTCTCATTCCGACCGTTTACTTTTAGTGCGTTCTGATTATTCTCTTTCTTTTTTCCATATCGATAAACAAGGACACAAATATACAGTAAAGCACGTTATATTGGGTCTATACTGGTTCTGTAAAAATCTGTTCTGACTAATCAGTGAAAAGTTTAAAAATGGCTTTCTTGTTTAGTTTCAGTAACGGGGATGAAAGAAACATTGCACAGTCTCTTAGAACTTCTGAAGAACGAGAAAGAACGTAGAAAAGCTGTAAAAAGACGCGCCATCATTGAAGAACCACCATACCCATTTCCTATGGGAGTCGAAACTTGGCTCGAAAAAAGGAAAAGTACATAACGATATTGTCTTTACTGTGAATGCCTAAATGTTTTTAATTATTGGAACCAATAAAAACTCACTTGTGTAAAAAATATTGCATTTTTCTTAAAGAATTAAATTGGTAATTTATTAGTTATAGGTTATTATTTTTAAATAGTCAATATGAAACTATTTTTTTCGTTTAATAAGCAACTTATATTTTTTAAGAATTGTTTAATTTAACTATACTACGAGTTTAAAATAATAGACATTGGTAAAGTTTCAGGAATGTCTAACAGAGTTGCCATATATCGAAAGAAGAATTTCTTGTATTATAAAAACTATGCAAAACATTTTTAAATTACTTAATTTTTAGGTAGCTTACACTTTGTATATTATGAAATAATTTTAAAATGTGAAGCTGGACTCTATCTATAATTTGTATTTAAAACTTTTGTTCGTATCCCTCAAAATAACGGAGATATCAAACTCCGGTATATAAGTTGATCACCCTGTATGTATATGTGGCGAATATTTACCTAGAAAAATTTAAATTAGGTGCCTATATTAATTAACTGAGATCTAAGGGGTTTATCATTAAAAGTACCTAAATCACTTTGTAGATAAAACAGCTGCAACAATTTATATATTTTCAATTTTATTTAATAAAAACAAATATAAATAAATAAATAAAATAATTTGGCTTTTCAAATTAAGGAAAAATTTCCATCAAATCTGGATTCATGTTAAAGTCCATTTTATCATTTGAATTAAAATTTTGATTTATCGTATTTGAACCAACGAAATCCCGAGCGGGAATTAAAACGACGAATCTTTGAGTTGATGTTCCAGGTGGGCGCACAATAGCTGCTAAGAAAGGAACCCTCTGGGTAAGACCTTGAGTGAAACTCTGAATTCCGGATCCAACATTTTGAGTCAAGCCTTGTATTCCGGATCCTACATTTTGAGTCAAACCTTGTATTCCGGATCCTACATTTTGAGTAAAACCTTGGAACGTTGAGCCAACATTTTGAGCGAAGTTTCCAACGTTATTCGCCCAGCCTCCGACTGTGTTTCCTATTGAGGAAAACGTGTCTGGAACGTTTAGCTCCAATGGGAAGAAGTCTGACGATTGAATCCAGTTTCCAATGAAGTCTAGTGGACCTCTTGGTTGTTGATTAAAATTAGATAGGCTGAAAAATAAAATAAATATAAGGGTCTTTATAAAAGTGATAAAAAAATGTTTTTAAAGTAGAAAATGAAAAAATCACACAAATCACTAAAATAACTCAGAAGGTTTGATTCTATTGAGTCTTCTTATTAGATTGGCATTGTTGAGGAGCTGAATAATCTCAAGGTTTCCATGTTGGATCAGTCGTTGTTGGTGACTACTGGCAAATTTTTTCATTTTATATTTAACAGACTTCACTCAAAGGCTCCTATGAAGATCAGTATTGCGGCAGTACCAGGGTGCATCGACAATGTATCTTAATACTTTATTCTGGAAATGTTCAGTTACTTGGATGTTATTTTAACTGGCACGGTCCCAAAGTCCATACGGTTTCAGTATTCTTCTGTAAAGAAGCAGTTTATTGTGTGTGGGTGATTTGGAATTTTTTTCTAGCAACCAATACATTCTTTTGTATTTTATATCAAGCTTAAGTTTCTTTTTAATATGGGCTTTCCAGCGAAGTTTAGCATCAAGTATCATACCCAGCTATTTTGCTGTGTTGGCAAAAGGAATCTGAATGCCGTTTATTCTGATTGGAACATATTTATTATGTTTATTGCTAAAATTGATATGGACCTATTTGCCTTTATTCAATTTTATTCGCCATCTTTTTTAGGTGATAATCTATCTTTTCAAAATAAAAGAGTCTTCACATGAGGAAAAAAAATTGAAACCATGGATAAGCAGCGATAAAATATAAAAAGAAACTCTGACGTAAATATAAACTATCCGGTGAAATAAATGACTTACAAACTCACAGAACCTTCTAAAATGATCTCAAAAAACCCCTAAACGACGCCAGACAAGGATATGAAAACTCTATAGCTGACAGTAAAAACGACAAAATGTTCTACAAATACATAAGATCGTCATTAGTTTCCAAAGTATCAACCCCTTTTCTGCAAAAGCCAGACGGAACTATGTGTCAAAATAACTCTGAAACTTCTGAAATTTTATCTGAAACCTTTTTGAGGGTTTTCTCTCTGGATCATCCACAATCTTCTTTGCCAGTGTGCACCTCACAACACATATAAGAAAGAAGAGGTGTGAAGCCAGTATTAGTAACGTTCTACGACTTCTTGTGCCCCAACTTGCCTCCGCCTCTCGGCAGCGACTTGGAAGGGTCAGCTGGCTTCATGCCGAAGTACAGTTTTTTTATCTTTCTCTACCTTTGAACGCGTGAGATTGTTTATTTCTACGTGTTGGGATGAGCCCCCACGTTTTTTCTTAAATTGCAACCATCTTTTAGGAGTGGTTCTGTTATTTCTTACGACTCAAGCCTCAAGTTATGGTGGAGAACAGGGACCGTATTGTGGCAACCCCTTTTTTAATCTAGTTATATATTAATTTTCATGCTTCTTCTACATTTATTGACGATGTCTCTGATGATGGCCTAACAGGCTGAAAGCGCTCAGACTAATATTACTGAGTTTTATTATTAATAAAACTCTACCTACACGCTTTAAATACTTTCGATTCATTTCTTACATATAAGAAAGTCTAGAAAACATTCATGTTACACCATATCTTGTAAAAAAAACAAATTCTAAAACTTAAAGCAGACGCATCTTCCGGAATGGATGGTCTGTCTCCATTCTTATTAAAAAAGTTTGCCGATATCACATCCTGTCCCCTTTATGATATATTAAATTCATCTTTTCGACGTTTTACCACCTATCTGGAAAATAACATCAGTTACCCCAATCTTTAAAAAAGTCAACAAACTCGATCCAAATAACTATCGACCCATTAGTCTCACATCTGTTGTTTATAAATTAATGGAGTCTATTATTGCCGAAACAATTCTGAAGTTCTTATCTGATAATAAAGTAATCCCAACTGAACAACATGGTTTCGTGAAAGGGAAGTCTACCATGACCAATTTGTTACTATGTCTTAATGATTGGACCAAAGCTTTAGACGACAAACTTCCAAAAGATGTAAAATAATTAAAATTTTTTCAAAGCATTTGATCGGGTACTACACAGGTTAGGTTAGGAGGTTATTACACAAATTGGAGAACAGTTGGGTCCCAGGATCTTTGAATAAGTGAATCGTTCTCTAGTAAGAAACCAGTATTAAGTGGAATTTCTCAGGGTTCTTTTTTAGGACCTCTGCTTTTTGTGGCTTACACACCTACAATATCATATTAAGAGCAACAAGGCTTTCTACGCTGATGACACGAAGCTCTACTCAGATCCTACCTCAAGCTCGTGTTATCTCCAGCACGATCTCAACTCTATTGTTACATGATCTATTGAGTGGCTGTTACCATTAAATATAGAAAAGTGTGTAGTTATGCATATTGGTAAAAACAATCTAACAAATACCATTAATAATTCCGTTATAAACTCAGGGTATTCTTATAATGACTTGGGCGTTATTATAAACTCAAATTTAACTTGGAGAGAATACATTTTCAGCATTTGTAAACGCGCGAACAGCAAATTATACTTATTAAAAAAATCTTTTCAAAAGGTTAAAGTTTTAAAGGTTAAAATGTTTACAAGACCAATCCTGTAGCAAAACGAATTTTTTTATATATATATATATATATATATATATATATATATATATATATATATATATATATATATATATATATATATATAAGGCTCTTAAAATCATTAGAAATACAAAAAAGTTGATCAGAATTTGATGCTCTAAAACTTTTAAAAAAGTAATTTTGCCCTTAAAAAATAGGAAATCACCCCCCTGCAGCGTACGAAATTTTTCACATAATACAGGGTAAATTGTAACAAAAAGTTTTACAGTATGTAAATTTACCAACATTTTTTTGGTTTCGAAAATAAGCTGATTTAAACTAACTTGCTTTTATTAAAAATGAATAGTAAAAAACTTGCAGGGTGTCAAAGTAGAAATTTTAGAAGTGATTTTTTTGCTTTTATTCTGTAACGGCGTAACATATTTTTATGAAAATGTATATAAGGTGTTACAGTGACCAATAAAATAATTCTATTGGTTTTTAGAAGGGGTTTTGCTCCCCTTTAACCTCCCTGCTTTCTTGGACAAGAAAATTAGTTAAAAAGAGCCCATCACTAAAATCCTACATCTGCTATAATTTTTTTTTGTCACTTAGTATTTGTTTGTGAAAGCCTTAATTATTTAGATATAGGCTCCTGAAGAAAGATCATAGTGAAAAATTTTTTAATTGATCTTAAACCACTGAATATTTGTTCAAGATTTTTTTTATTATTTTATAACTTCAATTACAAATATTCTCTTGTAATACCGATCATCTATGAAGTTGTAACAGACTACTGTGTGAAGAGTGTAATAATGAATAAAAAAAAATGTTCATTTATAATTTTTCTTTAATAAGTTGTGGTGTTCTTATACTTTTTATTTACAACAAAATCAAATTCAAATCAAACTAAATGCAATCAATCCACAACAAATTCATTATTTTATTTTAATTTATTTTCCATTCACAAAATTATTTACAAACGATCGCGATGAACGTATCAAGTGCCAAGCGCCTAGTTCACACTTCAGAGTCTTGACAAATTCTTTAATTTCATGTCCATCAACAAAATAATTTTCATACGATTTTGTTACAAATACAGTGCTAAGCGAAAAGTCAATGTTGCCATGTTTTATGTATAAAATACACATTCATTCGCTATCTGATCAAAACTATATTCCGAATACAACGTTTGTAATTAATTTTGCAGACCGGTCCAATCGCTTGTTCTACGATTGTACTGAACTAAAATTGTGGGTAAAATAGGTTTTGCCGCGTATATTATTTGAAATTTCGACTTGTTACTTTCCTATACACACAAGGAAAGTACCTATAGGAATGATGAGTTTTTTTATTTCTTCATTTTCTTCGTTATTACCTACATCGATTTATTAATTGGTTTCAACGAGATTGTATTTGGTTTTGCTTGACTCAAAAATCATATTTTAATTTTTCTATTCTCAAAGATGTATTATTGATATTGGTGTCAGCAACTGCTCTGATTTATTTCAAATATGTCTACCAAATCTTAGCTCGTTAGTTTTTACCGTTTTCAAATTCACTTGGAAATAAAATTAAATGCAATTGAACTCTCGCCATATACCAAAAATATTTTATGATCTATTTATTAATAGTATATTGTTTCACGAGTGACGAAAAATGATTTTCGACGAGTAAAACACTATACTTTTTCTACGAACTCTATTATGTCATGTAGGTACCTACTAAAATGAAAAAAAAAAAAACAAACGTTAGCAAATGCTTTATTTTATGTTAGGAATAACAAATCAAATATTTCAGAAATATTATTTATTATTTAAATATTGATTTATTGTTATATTTGAACAATTGTTCAAAATTATGGGGGTATCACACTCAAGCTTTTTATTTATTGAGGTAGATGCCGACATATTTGTTCTACTGTTAAATGTCATTTCAGATGATGATGCGCCATAATCGGATGAACTAGTAGTCTCCTTATTTTGTACAGATTGTAAAATTTTGGTTTGTATTTGGTTTTTACTGTTCGTAGATTCATCAACATATCCTTCCGCAACACTACTAGATTTCCAACCACCGTGCTTTTTTAACAGAAGCAAGTCACCTCCTGCATCCACTAATAGCGTAGCGGATGTTCTGCGGAAACAGTGCCCAGTGTAATCTTGAGGATTCGGAAGCGTTAAAAACTGAGCAATTTCGTTAGGAAATTTACTGATTTTATTAATTCCAACAACCTGTCTGCTACACTTTCCATTCTGATAGTTAATAAAGAATCTTGAATTAATTTGATCCATGTTTGCGGGACGTAGGCTCATATATTTTTTAGAAATATCATAAAAGGGTCCAGAAATATGAAAAGAACGCGGAACTTTTGTTTTTGTATTACGGATTTTAACTAACAGAATACTTCCAGTATCCTTTACATCGCTTATTGTTAAATCTTTTAGTTCGTGGCAACGACAAGCGCCAGATAATCCAAAAACTAATGCTACCTACAAATATTAGTAGTTATGTATTAAGTATTTGTTAAAATAAAAATAATAATTCCGTTACCTTTGTTATTAAATATTTATAGTCAGGTGCATTCTTTAGGAAAGTCTTTATGTCTTCAGGCGAAAAAATTTTAGATTTTTGGCTTTTAAAACCATCAGATTTTCTTTTTAAAAGCGAACGTAACTTTGGATATTTACTAATATCGACATCATTTTTAACAGAGAGTGTAGTTCTTAGCATCGAATAAATGGACCATAACGTCGACGCGCGACGTTTTAAAATTTGAACATATTTCTCCAAAGTATGCTAGTAGTACAGTTTCCGAAAATGATTTCACTTTATTTTTTTCTCTCCAGTCCAAAAATTTGATATAAATTTCTTCATATCTCTTTTTTGATTTGGCCGGTAATAAATCTGAAGAGGTTTCTTCAGCTTTAAAAATAATTTCTGGGGGAGTACAATCGCTTTCTGACTCAGACATCATGAAAATGTGTTAAATTTAGGACGAACTGAAACTGACAGTTCTCAAAAGTGATAAAACTTCAAATAAACAAATGAAAACCAGGAAACTAGATGTAGATTGGTTTAATTTGCACTATTTTTATACATTTTTATTTTATCTTTAATTCATTAAAGTTTAGGTAAAAACGCATATAGAATTTAATGAGCATCTTTTTATTTCATTATTAATAATTATAAGCTGCCAAAATATTATACGAGGCGACTGATATATGAAAATATGTAACAACTTACTTTCGTCACTAGAGACGAAAGTAAACGTTATGGGATTTTTTCTCACTAGTGACGGAAATCAAGTTTTCGCTGAAAGTATCCTGTGGCGAAAGATGTCTTTTTGTAAGAGTTCGTAGAAAAAAATCATTTTAACATTTGAATCATAAATAGATATTTTGCCAATACACAAACTACATTTTAAATAAAATTTTTTTGCACTTTCTTTTAAAATATTAAAAAACAAACAAACCTGATTGGAACTAACACATATCTTGGATCACTACTAACGGGATATGCAAATATCTCCGTCGAGCATATGTAGAAACAAATCAAACCGAATTTATTCATTTCCAATTATACGAGTAGGTAGCTCACTCACTCTTACCGTTAATTGACTGCACGCATTGGGTCTTAAAGAGCAAATTGTGGTACTGAAGATACTAAAAAAATTAACGAGCGTTCTCTTTTTCGCGATAATTTTGGTAGTGGGGAAACAAACACGCCGTGTGTAGTCAATTAATCATACTGTTTTGGAAACTCATGTACAAGTCGTTTGTCCCAAAAAAGAACTACTTAATCGTTAAGGAATACGAAGAACCTTAAATCAAAAACAGGGACGGAGTTTAAAATTCTACAAAAATCATTTTTTGAACTGTATAAAACTTCGAATAGAAATTTAAAAAATTATATTGATGGGTATATTATTTTGTCTTATGCCTCATAACTTAAACTATAAAGAAATAAGGTTATTAGACGTTATTTTCTTGGAAACATGTATTCAAAGGATCTGAAATTATCAAATTTTTAACAATTTGAACTCACATTTTCTTATTTTACAGTTTTTACTTTCAACTATTAGAACAATTAAGAAGTTAAAGTGAATCCCAGGGGCGTGCGGTCCATGGAAGCGGGGGCAAGCACCGCCTCCCTACACTTTGAAATTTAAAAATAAATATTTTTCAGTTTACAATGCATAGAAATTAATATTAAATTAGATACTATATTTTCTCTGAAACATTACGTAAACTTCGTAAATGTACTAACAATTAATTGGTGTAATGTGTAAACGCACGCACCACCCATGAGAAAATTAATTGTGTAAACGTACACACCATATACTTCGAGTCCGTCGGCGGAAGCGCGTCTTGAAACAGCCGGTTCATCTTGCAAGTGATTTCGCTTAGTGTTATTGACCCTGCTTTGCGGCGACAGTAGTCAGTCTGTTGCGCACGTGAAATACGGTCCAAAGGCGGCGATTGTTACGTCGCCTTACGCATATTGCAATTTGCACCGCAAATCGACGTGTGAGGAAAATCTTAGATTTTAGATAGATTTTGGTTTTATTTTTCGTAGTTGTTTTTTTTTTGTAAAATAGAGGAACTATGCACTGTGTCTATGAACAATAATAATGTGGTAAATTGTTCTGTATTGTGTGCTCTTTATTGAAAAAAGCATTTTCAAGTAGAAATTTTGAAGAGAAAACAGACATTATTAATTCTAATAGACTAAAGAATCCTATCAATTTAGAGACGAAAGTAGAAAGGTCAGCAAAGAAATTTACCAGGCATTTTCACGTACGGTTTTATGAAAAGTATGAATGGTTAACCGGCTGCAAAACTTTGAAGAAATTGTTTTGCTGGCCTTGTCTACTTTTTAATATAGCCGAAAAAACACATTGGAACTCAGTTGGTATTACAGACTTGAATAATTTTCACAAAAGTGTAAAACGACATGTAAATAGCAAATCTCATATAAGTGCTACAATTAAAGGAAAAACATTAGGGACCTATCGCATTGAACATAGTTTGGACAATCATTTAAAAATAAGCAACAAAATTCACAATGAAAGAGTAAAAAAAATAGAGACGTCTTACAACGATTAATAGATGTAACTTGTTTCCTGGGAGAGCATGAACTAAGTTTTAGGGGTCACAATGAAGCAAGTGGATTCGCCAATCGAGGAAATTACATGGACCTTCTAAGTTTTCTAGCAAAATACGATGATACCCTAAAAAATAATTTCATTGATTCGACGACTTTCTTTCCGAGGTTCCTCAAACAGAATCCAAAATGATTTAATTAAATGCACTGTCGACGTTGTGATGGATCACATTAAAAGTGAAATAAAAAAAAAGCACCTTGCACCTTCAATTGCGCTTGATGAAACCACAGATGTAGCAAACTTTAGTCAATTATCCATTGTTGTGCGATATGTATTGGATGGCATTCCTCAAGAGCGATTCTTAGGATTTTTGGACGTCACTAGCGAACGAACTGCAGATGCATTATTTAAAATTATTTGTGACATTATTTCAAGTTTAGAATGTGGTTCTAAGCTTGTTGCCCAGAGCTACGATGGTGCTGCTAATGGCTGGCCATTTAGGAGGCCTTCAAGCTAAAGTGAAAGAGAAGATTAACCATGCAATTTTCGTTCACTGTATAGCACATAGACTTAACTTGGTTTTATCGCGAAGCATGGATAATATTAAAGATTTCAAAGTTTTCTTTTCGACGCTTAGTAGTTTGGCTTCCTTCTTTTCAAAGTCATCGAAAAGAACTCGCGCTTTGAAAATTCACGTTCAAAGAAGGTTTCCAAAAGTTGCTCCGACGCGATGGAATTACAATGGATGTTTAGTGCAAACAGTGTTTCAATATCGTGATTCTTTGATAAACTTCTTTCAAGACGTTTGGAATAATAAAGAAACATGGGATGCTGAAACTGTTACTGCTGCTAAAGGGTTTTTGCATTGGCTCAAACAAAACTTTGATTTCAATTTTTTGCTCAACATTTTTGCAGAGATTTTCCCTTTTACTGACATTTTACAGACAAAGTCAAATGACATTGGCTTTTGCATTAAACAAATTGATGATTTTAAAAATAAAATGAATGACAAGTATTAGAAATTAAAAATTTAAAAAAACCGACTTCAAAAACGCGCAGATACCATCACCGCATCTTAACCAAATTTATATGGGACCACCCCTGAGGAACCACCTTACTAACAAAAAAAGAATCATATAAATCGGACAAGGTGGTAAAGCATTATCGCTAAACATACATAAAAAAATGAAGAGTTTGAGGATTTTCTCATGGATCTAATTATTAGATTTTGACCAAATTTATATGGGACCACCCCTGAAGTATCCCCTTTCTATTGAAATCGGAAACCGTGTTAAAGAAAAATATCGCGACAAATTGAGAACCTCCTTCTTTTTTGAAGTCGGTTAAAAAACGAGATCAGTTTGAACACATTTGGAATAAGACTCAAAACATTGGCTTAGAACCTGAAAGAAAGAATTAGAATTGATAATGTCAGCGACAGAGAAACCTCCTATCGTCGATTATACGTCGAAATTTTTGATAATATTTTACAACAAATGAACTCTCGATTTCAAAATTTTAACGAATTAAACTTTAACGAATTAAACTTTGTTGAATTGTGCAATTTTAATATTAGTAACTACGATTCAACAAAATTTCCTTCGGAAACTTTTAATTCACTAAAATTAAATTATGGAATTTTTTTCGATATTCCAGCATTAAAGTCCCAGTTAAGTGTTGTTTATGAAACAACTGAAATTAGTAATAAAAAGATGTCCATCAATGTGTTAAATTTTCTTATAATAACTGGTTTAAATAAGTTCCTTTGTGAAGTCGTCAAGTTGTGTAAATTAGTACTAACCATCCCAGCCACAAGTGCGTCAGTTGAGCGAAGTTTTTCAGCTTTAAAGCGCATTAAAAGTTTTATACGAAATTTAATAAGTGAAGACAGACTCTCTAATTTAGCCCTAATATCCATTGAAAAACAGCTTGTTAAACAGTTATCAGAAAATCCAAAATTTTACGACGATATTATAGACAAATTTGCAGCCATTGATGATAGGCGAATAGATCTTAAGTATAAATAAATGTCAACTGCTGTGTAAACTGTGCAAAAAATGCTGAAGAAAATAAAAAAACTTCAGTTATATGTTTTTTTACGTTTAAATAAACCAAGGAAGTTTTTCAATGGTAAGTTTTTTTATAACTTCTAATACTAAATTAGGTAATAAAGGAATAGTAACACTTCAAAAACCTCAATATCCTTAGAATGCGCCGCGAAAAATTTTCGCCTGCAGCGCTGTGCTTATTGGCCTGCTGTATTTTTATACAATCGCTTCCCCTTCCAAAAATGTCACCGCACGCCACTGGTGAATCCTTATTGCAAGTAATTACTGAAAGTGGAAAATGTCACTTCTTTTAAATGAAAAATATAAAAAATAATTAGTTTAATTTATTTAGAATAACTGTCATTGCACTATACAGGGTGTTTCATAATATATGCGCAGGACTTCAGGACGTGATAGCTCGTCCAAAAATACGAAAAAACGTTTCTATTAACTTACCCTCTAAAATGCACCATTTTCTAGATACATGGTGTTGAATTTGAAAAAAAAAATTATACGCCACTGGAAAAAGTACGGTTTTGAGACGCCCATTAGAACCGCCAATGTTTTCTACACAAAAAAGGTACTCTTGGTTATATGCTCTAAAGTCGACCGTTTTCAAGAAAAATCAAATTTTGTTTCATCAAGTATGTATGACCATGTATTTCAACATTAATTGGATATAACCAGTTCACTTTCTCTCCGCATGATACACCAGATGGGTAAAGGGGTATCTATGAAAACTAGAGATAAGGATGCGAATCGGCATACTCAAAATACGGTACCATATTTTTTATTGTTGTAATGCAAATATAAAGGGAGATTTGGAAATATACATGGTATTACCCGAGAATACCGATCAAGGAGAAGCGACAGCTTGGTGTTTTCAGTGTACCGTTTTGTAACGCGCATGTGCGAAAATAAGTTGTGTATCACTCAAAATTATGGTATCTGTCAAAGTCAGTCCAAGTCACATACTTTGATTTTCTTTAACTATACGGAGAATGGTCGCACTGCGCAGCTTTCTGAGTGCCTTTTAAAAGGAGATAGAAAACTCCGCCATTTTGAACCCTTATTACGTGTTGCCTACATCTTGGCGCAATATTTTTAATAGGTGTGTTTTAATCATCCGCTTCTGCTTCGGAATTGTCGGTTTTCTTGTTTTAATCTGACAGGTTAAAACGACTAAACCGACAATTCCGGAAGCAGAAGCGGATGATTAAAACGCACCTGATATTTTGCTTGCTGCTGTCAGTGTCAGTGAATATTATTTTTGAAGTCACAGTTTATTGCTAAAGAATCAGTTAGCTCACTCGGACCAGTTGAAAGTTCCAAAATAACATCCACTCCAGGGATACAAATTCAGGACACGCAGAAGACTGCTGTTTTATTATAGGCGGTTGTCATATATTGTATTATCCGAGTTGCATAGTGTATAAACTGAAACATTGAGATCCAAAGTGCCGACGCAGAGTGAGCGATCTGATTCTTTAGCTGTAAACTGTGTCACAGGGTTCAAAATGGCCGCGCCCTATGTTGGGCGTGTCGGACCTCTCTCTTGCTTTGTATAGTAATCAAAGTATGTGGTCCAAGTTGTGTTTAGTACGTGAGCAATGTTAAGTGATATTTTTTGGTGCTTATTTTGTGTAGTAATAAGATGAAGATTTTTACACACTTAGTTATTCTAATACAGATATAAAATGTGCCAAAAAAGTTATTATGAAACTAAGAATTTTATCACATGCATAAATATTAAGTATAATGATTTAATCATTTGTGACATTTTATTTTTCATATGTAGGTATTGCATTTTGTGAAATGTATGTTTTTCTTCTTTTAAATAAATTTCATAAACAATGAACTGCAGATTTTTATTTTATTTTGAAATTATATTTAAGAAAATATAATAAATTCGCGTATTTCAATTAGGATTGGTCAAAGTGGGCTAACTTGGCTAAATTGTAAGTTACAATTATGTCAATATAAAGATGTTTTGCCTATTCATATTTACATTTATTGAATGAATCATACTGGAGTTGATTTTGAAAATATTGGTGCATACTTAAATAAGTACTATTTCTAAAAATTCGTCTATGCACACATAGCCAAATGGACGTCCACTTTAGATCTATTTGAGGGTGAGGACGTCCATATCCGGACATCCAGTGTACGTCCGTTTATGCTAATTAAATTGACAGCTGAATATCGATACCCAGAGAACGTCTGTTTTTGGACTTTATTTTAAGTTCAGTAGTATTTTGACGTCCAGTGGACGTCCATCTTAGGTCATTATTTATTAAGCCTACCACATAATACCCATCTATATATACCTCTTTTTTTTAATATAACTGGTCATTAAAAATTGACAAATTGAATCTATTGCATTTCATTCTATCAGCGGAAGTTTGAAATCTTATTCAATTATAACTGTATCTAGTAAAAAGTTTTCAAGTGGTTCCTTGGTCGAGCTCGTCTAGCGATTGAAAGCGTAAAATGATAATGGATGTGTCGTGAGTTCGATTCCTGCTCAGGTCAAGCGATTTTTAATAAAAAATAAATAAATGGTGTATAGCGATTTGCGAAAATAATAAACAAATTATTAATAATATAAAATAGTGTGTGGTGAGTTGCGGTTCTGTAAAAAAGTGGGAATGTGGTCTCAATGGAAATATAATCCTGGACGTTTTTTGAATGTCCAGTATTCGACGTCCAAATATATTCCAGAATTGGACGTCCTCTGAATGGTCAAAAGTGTGCAATTTGTATACGTCACTGGACGTCCATTGGACGTCGGAAGTCCAGAAAACTCATTTTTGGACGTCTAGACATCCAAAATTGTATATCGAATGGACGTCCAATGGACATATTTGTATTGTCTGGGTAATAGCCAGGCCAGGTATTTAACTCTAATTACATAAACCTTAAATGACATCTGGTTTAACTTGGCGAGAAAACACTTGTTTCTACAGAAATGAGTGATACACTTGAAAGTCCTTTTAATATAATATAAATCTAGAAATTCTAAAAATATGTAAGTACTTTTTAAACCTAAAAGCTTTGAAAATATATGCACATTGCAAATATTTAGTTAAACCTCTTAAACTTAATGTCTTTTTAATTGTTACCTAAATTTTTTTTGACACCTTTAATTTTATTTACCTTATTTTTAGTTAAGGAAAAGGTAATTTAATTTAAATATGGGGCTTTTATTACATTTTTAACAATAAATAAACCAAATATTGGACAAATTTTATAGATAAATTATAAAATAATAAATGTCTTTTACTTTTATAATAAATAATTAATTATTACATAATGAATTATATTTTGGTGCCGAAATTTCAGCATTACTATTAACCCTAACTACTTCAATGTAATTAAATCACATTGCAACATTTGCGCATGGACTATAACAATAATTTAAGATAATTTGCCAAACTATTTCGCTCAGTGTAGAAAATAAGCATGTTTTCTCAGCGTGCTAAGTTGTGTATCAGTCAAAGTCATACTGTGAAAAAGGTACATCCGATATCAAAGGCACCGACAGCTACTGTCGCTTCTCCTTGATCGGTATTCTCGGGTATTACCTCATCCTTTAATTTCAGCTTTCTCCTTTTTATTTTGCAACAAGGCCATCAATAAAAATAGTTCTTTAACATTTGATAATATCTTCTAAAAAGTATAGAACAGCATCATCTCTAGAAAGTGCTTTATCGGCACTAGGAACAATATATGTATATGCTGTAACTGTTCCAAGCGTTTAGTGTCCTATAAAAAACATTTACAATTGGGGTTCAACAAAATAAATAACAATAGCAACTCTTTATCTAACAATAAAACTCTATAAAAAATATATTTTCTTTTCTAGTAAGTTAAATTTAGAAAAATATTATAGAAACTTGTAATAAAATAAACTACATTCCATAAGATACATATTGTGACTAGTTTACAATAAATATTATATTTAGACATAAATACATTATTTTACTTACATAAGAAGCATTAAAAAGACATTGAATTGATTTATCCTTATATTTTTTTTAGTTTTACATTATATTTGTATCTTATTTTACAATCTGGAACAACATAAATCTTGCTTTGATGTTTTTTGTCACTCATGTTACTTGTGCTCAGGTACTTTTTTCATATTATTTTGATTCTCTTCACCATTTTTTTAAAAAATCACTTCATTTTACATTGACTTACATAGAAAATTGACACCGTTGTTATTCGACATGCCAACTACAGTCAGTTCGCGAACTTTATAAAAAGAAGGACGGAAATTTTAAATTTTCCCATTGCCGATTCGCCTCCTTCTCTCTAGTCTTCATAGGGGTATCGTACGTCGCACATAACCGTAGTATTTTGGAAGGGTTTATTTAGATTTTATAAAAATTATTTATTGATCAAATCTTAATAACAAATACACGTTCAATAGGTCTTTTGAATCAAACATAAATTTAAAGAAACAATTTTCAATATATACAAAAAAACTGTTCTGTATATTTTCTTGTAAATTAAAATAGCAGTTCAAATTGTAGAAACAGTTTTGTAAGTATTTGAAACAACGACGAAAAACTACTGGACTAATCCATTCATTCAAAATTTAGCCCTTATTTATTTCAATCATTCAGATTGTGTTTTATATTACGCAGACAGAGCTGCAGTATCAAGTGCTACATTAAAAAGAACAAGCCGGCTGCTAATTTGAGTTGGGATAATTTGTGCGAGTTTGTTTATCTAAGGAGCGAGCATGCGTTTTATGAAAGAATCAGTTCTTACGTCTACCACGCTTGCTTTACGCTTCTATCAGGCTTCAAAATAAATTGCGAACTTTCCTGAAAATCATCTTCAACTATTAGTTACAACGAGATAAATACATTAAACTGATAATAGTTGGCATTAAGAATGCAATCATACTTCCTTAATGTAATTTTGAAAGCCTTTGGTGCATAATACTCTTATTTAAGACTCTCAAACTCAAACATCGTTATATTAATTGTCATAGTACATAATCACTTTGTTTTAATAAAAGCTATAAGGTCAAGTGGATATTAATACCCCCTCATGTGTACTTGACAACGCTGTATTGTTGGTAGGAATTAATTATTAAAATTTTGCTCCACTTTCCCCTAACAAACAATGTTAAGTGTAAACAACATTGGTCTCAGATGTTTCGTGAAAGTCACAGTTTTTTAACTACCTACTAATATAAAATGCATATAATTTACTTACTATGATCTATTAGCAATCAGTCGATAATTCTTAGGTTCTAGATTTCGTTCAACTTAATATAGGAACGTGCTATTTTCCATCATCAGACTCTTCATTTGGTTTATTAGTAAATGGCCTAGGGGTGATATAAACAAAACTTTCATTTTTATCACCTTTCGTACTGTTTATTAGTTCCCATAATTTTTCTGTGGTACTCTTATTGTCTTCTACCTTAGGTATGATTTCGAATAGATTTTCAGGTTTATTTTCAGTATGTTCCATAGAATGTACCACGTTTTCTTCTGTTACTACCTCAGTTGGTTTCGTAATTATAGGTAAAGTATATATAGGTCTGTTCCAAGTGGGCGGTCTGCTTAAATCCTCGTGTACATAGTTTGAATTTATGGTTTGAATTCTTTGAAGAACATACTCAAGTACCGGTGGTAATTTGCTAACAGTCACCTGAGTAGGTAAAAACAACTTATTAATTAATCCTCGCGTATTAAATTCGTGCACGTCCACTACATAATACTCACAAATAAGAAATAAAATCAACAACCGGTACATATTAGCGTTTTCATAAAACTGCCGCGAATTTTCATTAAATGCAGGTTGTGCTGGAAAAAAGTGGAACATTGTAATGAATCGAGAATATTGTGAAAGTGAAACTTTTATTTTTTATAAAAATTTACATTATCGATTCGAATAACAAGTCAAACGACAATGATCAGGCTTAAAAAAGCGAAGAATATAAAGTTAAATTACCGTTAGCTCGCCCATATCTCGAAAATGTCTTATAGTTCTCTTGAGATTTATTTCCATTTTTTGTACCTTCTTCATCTTTCTTAATCTCTTCGCTAGATGTTTTATTGATTTTTTCTTTTATCTATTTTAAATATTTCTTCTGTATTAAATTCCGAGTTTTCCTCAATTTCCAATAGATAGAGACGCTGCAAGGGTCGAATAAGATATCTCCCTTCTCATTTTAGTTTAGCTACTCTTGTAAGTCCTTCTTTGCTTGGATATATTTCAACTACTCTACCTAAGGGCCAATTTATTCGTTACACATTATCAGCTCCGATAAATACAACACTACCTGCTTTAATCTTTGAGATTTTTCTTCGACGAAAATGAACTAAATTTGCTAGGTATTCTTTTCTAAATCGACTACGCAAATTCTGTCTGTAGTATGTAGATATCTATGCCTCTTGATAATTGATGTTTTATAAATGTGGTCTGGGTCAGGTACGTCACTTTTAGAAATGTCCTGAATAAAGTGTAATGGTGTTAATGGGATAAGTTCTGTATCGCTTGGAATATAGGATAGTGGTCTGGAATTTATGATTGCTTCACACTCATAGATAAAAGTTGTTGTTAATTCATCTATGTATAAACTAGATTTACCTAAATTTCGACGTAATAACTCTTTTACCATACGGACCATCCTCTCCCACCATCCTCCCTACATTATGGAACAAAATTTGTTCACCAACAGGCACGTCTACAATAGGTCCAGTTCCTTTGACAATGTCTCCTTCTTTGATGATTTATTACCAAAAACTACCTCGATAAAACTGGGCGTGTCTTAAGTATTGGTGACGGTATCGCCTGTGTCTATGGGTTGAACAACATCCAAGCCGATGAGATAGTGGAATTCTCATCTGGTTTAAAGGGTATGGCCCTTAACTTGGAATCCGACAATGTTGATGTTGTAGTATTTGGTAATGACAAGCTCATCAAAGAAGGAGACATGGTCAAAAGAACTGGACCTATTGTAGACGTGTCTGTTGGTGAATAAATTTTGGGATCGTGTAGTCAATGCTTTAGGTAATCCTATTGACGATAAAGGTCCTCTAAACACCAAAACGCGTTTCCTTGTTGGTATTAAGGCCCCCGGTATCATTCCACGTATATCTGTAAGAGATCCTATGCAGTTTGGAATTAAAGCTGTAGACTCTCTAGTACCAATTGGTCGTGGTCAGCGTGATTTGATCATTGGTGATCGTCAAACAGGTAAAACTGCTTTGGCTATTGAAACAATCATCAACCAAAAAACGTTTCAACGACGCCGTCGACGAAAAAAAGAAGTTGTATTGCATTTACGTTGGCATTGGCCAAAAGAGATCTACTGCTCCTTTGGTACAATAATACCAAGTCGGAGCCATTCTTTAGAAACTGCCTCGTAATCAGAAAATCTGTTAATATTTATTAATTATTTAGTAGTAGTGATTAATCTTTTTTGTGCTTGATCCAAATTGCTATGTAACTTAGGATGGCCATCAATCCACTGTCCAACCGAGATGGGTCTCGATTGCAACCAAATTTTCATTAATTCTTTCGATAACTCCTGCGAGTCCTGTGTAAAGGTTTCCAATGACATCCACTCCTAAAAGAAGTTCTATTTCTAATGATTCAAACTCGATGACATGAAGTAGAATATTCTTTTTTTAACTTGTTCATTTCTTGAACATGGAATATTAGAACATATTTTTGTCTGATCGAGGACTTAAATATTAAAATGGACTGACTTGTCAAAACTATGTACAGAAATGTTGTAAATATGGTGAACATGTGAAACTAAATGTTCACCCCCGAAAACACCCTGTATGATGGTTTCTTGACCAACCTTTTGAAAATGCATTTCTTTGATACATCTTGTCAAAATCTAAGAGCGCTCTTTACCACTTTAGTTTTATCCCGGTTGATAAGTCGAACAAAAATGGTCTGGAGTAGTGTCTGGCCACAAGAGTTCGTAATGAGTGCATTGTCTACATTAAGTTCACATATGTTTTCGGACCTTTTATCGATTGTTTCTTTTGGTTTAAGGTCTGGACACATAATAAGATAATGCCTTTTACCACATACTACACATTTTACAAAGTTTCTACATTTCTTTATATTATGATTAGGCTTAAGGCAACCAAAACAACAATTTTTCTTTTTGATGATATCTTTTTTCTGTTCTAGCTTTAATTTTTGAGTCTTAATACAATCTTGGCTCCGATGTTGTTTATAGCAGAAAATACAATTAGGATATGTAGTTTTCTTACCTACGTCCTCTGATGAAAAAATAGTTGCAGCCGTAGGGAATTCTTGACTATTACTTGCCTGTTGAATCCTTGAAGATGACGCTCTTTCGTTTTCCTTTTATTCTTAAAACTACTGGAAATTCATAAAATTCACACTTCTCCTTCTACTTCTCTTCTCAGAAAATCTAGCAACATATTTAAATAGTTAATAGAGCTTCTAGAAGAAGGAATAGCCGCGTCATCTATTAAATACTTTCTTTCGTCATTTTTATATCACTACCAAACTTGTAAAATATTTGAGGGTAGCGAATATTCCACTAGTGGAAACAACATAGCAGCATACTTATCGCTGGTAACGCCCAACGTTTCTAAAGGCCTTAACTGGGTTTCTAACTTGTCAAATAAAGTGGAAAGTGACATACCTGTTTTATGTTTAGTCGTTTTCAAGACTAGATTCAAAAGTTCTCTTACGTAATATTCGATTAGAAATTCGTCTCTAGCAAATCTGGTTTTAAGAAGTAGGATAGCTTTCTTGTAGTTGAGTCCTGAAGGAGGAAAACTTTCGGCAACGTTTCTTGCAACAGATCCTTCTTGGGTTGCTTGTATAAGATACTGAAACTTGTCTACTCTGTCCATCTCTTCATCCTCATTTATTTTTTTTAATTGGTCCCAAAATCCTATCCAGTTCTTTGTTTCACCATTAAATTTCTTTAGTTCTATTTTGAGTAGCTTAAAATTTCTCTTTTTTGTTTCAATTTTCGCACTGCTACCTATACTACGCCCTTCAACTTGTTTTGTTTCTTCTTCACAAATTCTTACATATTTTCGCTTGTACTTTATGAATTCTTCACGATAAATCTCAGCTGTTTCTACTTCAGTTCTATATCTTCTACTGCATTGTCATCATTGAACAGTAAATCTTTAATTTTATCATCTAGAAGAATTAATCTATCGGCTTTGCTCTCCAATCCATCCATTCTGTACGCCAACTCTAGTTTATCCAGATTAGGTTCACTGTATAAGACGTCAAGTTCTCTGCAAATCTTAGTGAACAGTCTTCTTATAGCAGTTTTTTTCTTCAAACCATTGACATTCTCCATTTTACGTCCTGTCACGGTCGCCAAATGTTGTAAATGGAGAAGAATTTACTAAGAATTGGTTCAAAAGAAACGAATATTTTTAGTTTTTAACATCTCCTTCCAAAAAAAAACTATAACAACTTTTTGTTTAATTTTTAATTGGTTTCATCGGCATCGAATACTAAGGTCATTAGCCTTGTGTTCTGTGTAGGCTTTGTTACTGTTTCCCAGCGCCACTTTAGGAACAGCACTGTTAATTAGAATCCAACAGTGAATTTTTTATTATTTAATATATAGGATGATTTTCTATTTTCAACAAGGATTAAGAAATTGTCTTTGAATTTCACAGCTTAAATTTTATGTCTACTATAATATGTAAAAAAAGACGATATGTTCTTAAGCTTAATTTCTATCATTATGTTATAGATAACAATATTACATGTGTTTAGGTAGAAATTTGTATGATACACATCTTAAAAAAATAGGCTATAGTTATTTTTCCATTATCTAAGTTGCTTCTTAATATATTTACAAAATTCTCTTCTCTGGATGTCACTTTTTAATGACTTAACAAATTTATTGGCACTATTAATTTTAATGTAGGTACATCAGACATCCGTTTGAAAAAATTTAGTAATAATAAGTACCTAACATGAATTACAATACAAATATTTCTTAAAGAGTTGAAATAACCCATTAAATTATAATTAGATACACTGACGCAAATTACGAGTTTTGACTTTCTAACTCACTTTTTAAAAACTTATAATTTAATTTTTGAAAATACCTTTAATAATTTTTATAACTACAAAGTAAAATATATATCAGACTAAAAAATAAAATTAATTGATAATCTATTTATAATAAAAATAAATGCTGACATCGGTGGACGTTGACCGGCCGTGATCGCGTCGCCATACTTTTGACCATGTGGAATGTGTTGAGTCAGCAGATCATTGTCCTGTAACTTCTCCATCCCCCAAAGGAGTCTTGTAAGGGACGAACAAGACTTATCCACTTTCTTCATCATCGGTTGAAATCTTGTATCTACGAGGAACTTGTTTTGTTATCTTCTCTTGGTTATGTAACAAATATATAGAAGGATTGTAAGGATTATGTATATTGGTGTAACTCAGTAGGGGTTTGTGTTGGAATCTGAATGTTTCATGTTTATGGTTTGAATGTGTTCTTCTTCTGTCATTAATTTATAAAGTTTATCCAAGGGGACTCGATCTAGTTTTAAAATCTTCGCCTTGTATAGTTCCTAGAGTGGTATGGTTTTAATTTTCGGTAAGGTCAGAGGTTCTGCTGGTATTAAGGTTTTCGAATTTATGAATTTTTGGTTTGTTGTCTTTATCTCGCAATTGAGTATTAATTTAATTAGGAATGTTCCTTGGAGAGATATTTCTGTGGTGCAGCAGTGGCTGTGTGAATATTGCTATGTAGTATGCTTCCGACATTTTCTGGATTATGGTGCCATTAATTTTTACTGGTACGTGCTCACAAGAGGCTTCTTTGGTGTTAAGTGGAGAAATTGGTTTATACAATCTTTACTTTCAAAAATTGTCTAAAGTAAGTTGTCTTGACATATTCTGATCCAAAATCTTTACAGGGCACATCTTGGTATATACTCGAACAATTCCTGGCTTGTTAGGAGATAAGGAACAGGAGGGATAATAGTTGTATAATTGTAAATAGGGAGATTGAAAATAATTGATAATATGTAAAGGATTCTGGATGCAAAACAGAAAAATGAAGGATAAAGACGTTTGAATAATAGACGTTTACGGTTATGATAATTTAGTAATTTTGTGCATTTTCTTCCATGTATAAGAACTGTTCTTTGGAATGGAAATCTTACATAGTTCTTACGGTCCATTGCAATTCTTCCTTTTTTATGAGGCTGTTGTGGAGGGTATTTATTCTGGCCAGTGTTACTAAGACGTTCAAAAGTTGGTGTATAATTTGCAGAACTAGGTTGAGTTGGTTTAATATATTCCTTGTCTGCCTTAAAATCAAAGACAAGTTTGTTGAGTTCTATTCCAATTTTTTATGTTTCTTTTATTATTGTTTCTTGGTTGTGTTTCAGGAGGGTTATCGTTTCGTTAAGATTTTCTAGGATTTTTGATGATATTTTTCTGATTTTTCTCCAAAATTGCAATAACTTTGTTATATTTTTCGGCATCTTCTTGGTCCAGATCTTCAGAAATAAGATTTATGATGCTGCCCATGCCGTTTATAAGTCCTCTTCTTCTTTTGAGGTTTGGATGAATGGTGGAGAATTTTTCCTTTACGGATTTCAATTGGTATTGGAGTGCACTGTCAAAGGTTTGCAGACTGTTGATGTAAGGATGACTTAAACCATTTTGAATAGCTGTTGTGACGGCCTTATATTGATTTTCTATAGATGAAGTCTCTTTTGCTATAGGTTACAGTGGAAAATATTGGATGAAGTCGTGAATATTACTTTGCTTGTCCTAGGTTGAGAGGTAGAATTCTTAGATTGTCATTCAGGTTTTGAATGTTGATCTCGTCTTCCATTAAGGGTAGGATCCTATAAACAAGATTTTACTTTAGTTCTCTGGTATTTTATATTCTTCTTATGAACTGAAGTTGTAGTGTGTCAACTGTCACAGAGTTATCGTTCTGGACTACTTTTGGAGCAAACCTAGGAAGAAGTTTGTTCCGTTTAAGAGTCCTTCTTGAGTAGATTTTTGAGTTTGGCTTGTAGGTAATAGATGTATGTCTTGTTTCGTTTCTTTTGTCTATGTTGGCTTTCTTGTTGTATATATGTTCGTTAATTTTCTTGTAGATTTCTTTGGTTTTCTCTCGGTGTTCTACGTAATTGTTAAATAACATTGTTGTTGTCCATGTCGAAAGGGTCTCTCGTGTCTAAATGTCAATTTAGTACTTCGATAGGTTTTAACTTCGTTGATGAATGTATAGAATTATTGTTACCTAGGATGGCGCACGTAGGGCATTTGTTCTTTGATGGGAATGGTTGTTTGAGTACCTTTTAATAATTTCAAGTGTTCTACTATTGTGAAATGAAATATCACAATGATTCTTTTGGATTGAGAGTTGTCAGGTCATGTGTAGTGAGCATCAACAAAATCTTGCATAATGCCGTTTTCGAACTCTGTACCACTATCAACAAAAATAATTTTTTGGAATCTATTGTGTGTGACGAAGAATAAATGCATCCACAATTGTTAAAAATGTCTGACCACTAGCCTAAAAGACATCGATGTGAACTATCTCAAGAGGTTTTGTTGGAGTTGGTGTGAGCATAAACTTCGATTTCGGAGGAGTTTTATTTATCGCAGGAATTGATATGTCCTTCTTCAGATTTGGCTAAAAGTATCGATTTCTAATTTGCAGTTCGGTCTCGTGATTTGTTTCTCCAAATTTTTTTCTTTTTGTCTCTCTCGATTTTTCACGTTTTCTAATAGTTTGTTACATTCACTATATCATAAGAGTGTTTAAAAATCTTCGACGATAGCCCCGACCAGGATACCTCGACAGCTCAACTGGTGAAATCATGAACGGCTAGAGTTCGAAGGTTCCTACTCTTCTGTCATCCAAGGAATACAAATGATGGTCATTAATCAATGAAAATCATTCAGTCGCAACTTCTGAATTACACTGACTTTTGTGATTTTTTTAGAATTCTATGATCTGAATTTTAACTAGTCCTAATTATAAATTAGTCAGTAGGTACTTACTCATAACTGATAAATAAACAAATGAACAAATAAACAAACAAATAAACAAATAAACAAATAAACAAATAAACAAATAAACAAATAAACAAATAAACAAATAAACAAATAAACAAATAAACAAATAAACAAATAAACAAATAAACAAATAAACAAATAAACAAATAAACAAATAAACAAATAAACAAATAAACAAATAAACAAATAAACAAATAAACAAATAAACAAATAAACAAATAAACAAATAAACAAATAAACAAATAAACAAATAAACAAATAAACAAATAAACAAATAAACAAATAAACAAATAAACAAATAAACAAATAAACAAATAAACAAATAAACAAATAAACAAATAAACAAATAAACAAATAAACAAATAAACAAATAAACAAATAAACAAATAAACAAATAAACAAATAAACAAATAAACAAATAAACAAATAAACAAATAAACAAATAAACAAATAAACAAATAAACAAATAAACAAATAAACAAATAAACAAATAAACAAATAAACAAATAAACAAATAAACAAATAAACAAATAAACAAATAAACAAATAAACAAATAAACAAATAAACAAATAAACAAATAAACAAATAAACAAATAAACAAATAAACAAATAAACAAATAAACAAATAAACAAATAAACAAATAAACAAATAAACAAATAAACAAATAAACAAATAAACAAATAAACAAATAAACAAATAAACAAATAAACAAATAAACAAATAAACAAATAAACAAATAAACAAATAAACAAATAAACAAATAAACAAATAAACAAATAAACAAATAAACAAATAAACAAATAAACAAATAAACAAATAAACAAATAAACAAATAAACAAATAAACAAATAAACAAATAAACAAACAAATAAACAAATAAACAAATAAACAAATAAACAAATAAACAAATAAACAAATAAACAAATAAACAAATAAACAAATAAACAAATAAACAAATAAACAAATAAACAAATAAACAAATAAACAAATAAACAAATAAACAAATAAACAAATAAACAAATAAACAAATAAACAAATAAACAAATAAACAAATAAACAAATAAACAAATAAACAAATAAACAAATAAACAAATAAACAAATAAACAAATAAACAAATAAACAAATAAACAAATAAACAAATAAACAAATAAACAAATAAACAAATAAACAAATAAACAAATAAACAAATAAACAAATAAACAAATAAACAAATAAACAAATAAACAAATAAACAAATAAACAAATAAACAAATAAACAAATAAACAAATAAACAAATAAACAAATAAACAAATAAACAAATAAACAAATAAACAAATAAACAAATAAACAAATAAACAAATAAACAAATAAACAAATAAACAAATAAACAAATAAACAAATAAACAAATAAACAAATAAACAAATAAACAAATAAACAAATAAACAAATAAACAAATAAACAAATAAACAAATAAACAAATAAACAAATAAACAAATAAACAAATAAACAAATAAACAAATAAACAAATAAACAAATAAACAAATAAACAAATAAACAAATAAACAAATAAACAAATAAACAAATAAACAAATAAACAAATAAACAAATAAACAAATAAACAAATAAACAAATAAACAAATAAACAAATAAACAAATAAACAAATAAACAAATAAACAAATAAACAAATAAACAAATAAACAAATAAACAAATTAGAAAATAACTTTATTTAAAATATTTTTATAAAATAACTTATTACAAGTAAATTACACACTAAAACCCAGTGTTTATGAATCCTTGAACTTGCAGACGTCAGTGGATGCTCCAAGGTATACCTAATAGCATCGGTATAGTTGTTTGCCCATTTCAAATTATTTTCAATTATTTTTAATGACCGTGAACTTGAATTGTCTTGTAATTCTATATGGCTATCTATTAGGGTTTTTAGCTAAAAAATTTAAACAATAAATTATTTCAGAACTTTACAAACATAAAAATGGTCGCAGGATTTACCTTATCTAGTTGACTCTGTGTTGAAATTTTATCAGAGATGCTTATTATAAAGTCAGTTAATGGAAATACTTCCGAATACCTACAAATATTAAGTTTAAAATAAAGGAATTCAGATTTTCTACAGCATAATTTTTATGTTTAGACAATAAATAATAGTTTTAGCCCTTCTTGCCAATGAATAATGCAACAAGTGTGATCTTTGGATACCATATCCATCCAATTATTTTTACTTTCCTATCTGTATACAGATATAAGGAAAGTATAGGAATCATGATTTTTTTCGACCTCGAGTTTTCGACGGATTTTTACGTTTTGAGGTCCCCTGAATCCGTTTTGACTATTTTCGCGATGATGTCTGTCTGTCTGTGTGTGTGTGTGTGTGTGTGTGTGTGTGTGTGTGTGTGTGTGTGTGTGTGTGTGTGTGTGTGTGTGTGTGTGTGTGTGTGTGTGTGTGTGTGTGTGTGTGTGTGTGTGTGTGTGTGTGTGTGTGTGTGTGTGTGTGTGTGTGTGTGTGTGTGTGTGTGTGTGTGTGTGTGTGTGTGTGTGTGTGTGTGTGTGTGTGTGTGTGTGTGTGTGTGTGTGTGTGTGTGTGTGTGTGTGTGTGTGTGTGTGTGTGTGTGTGTGTGTGTGTGTGTGTGTGTGTGTGTGTGTGTGTGTGTGTGTGTGTGTGTGTGTGTGTGTGTGTGTGTGTGTGTGTGTGTGTGTGTGTGTGTGTGTGTGTGTGTGTGTGTGTGTGTGTGTGTGTGTGTGTGTGTGTGTGTGTGTGTGTGTGTGTGTGTGTGTGTGTGTGTGTGTGTGTGTGTGTGTGTGTGTGTGTGTGTGTGTGTGTGTGTGTGTGTGTGTGTGTGTGTGTGTGTGTGTGTGTGTGTGTGTGTGTGTGTGTGTGTGTGTGTGTGTGTGTGTGTGTGTGTGTGTGTGTGTGTGTGTGTGTGTGTGTGTGTGTGTGTGTGTGTGTGTGTGTGTGTGTGTGTGTGTGTGTGTGTGTGTGTGTGTGTGTGTGTGTGTGTGTGTGTGTGTGTGTGTGTGTGTGTGTGTGTGTGTGTGTGTGTGTGTGTGTGTGTGTGTGTGTGTGTGTGTGTGTGTGTGTGTGTGTGTGTGTGTGTGTGTGTGTGTGTGTGTGTGTGTGTGTGTGTGTGTGTGTGTGTGTGTGTGTGTGTGTGTGTGTGTGTGTGTGTGTGTGTGTGTGTGTGTGTGTGTGTGTGTGTGTGTGTGTGTGTGTGTGTGTGTGTGTGTGTGTGTGTGTGTGTGTGTGTGTGTGTGTGTGTGTGTGTGTGTGTGTGTGTGTGTGTGTGTGTGTGTGTGTGTGTGTGTGTGTGTGTGTGTGTGTGTGTGTGTGTGTGTGTGTGTGTGTGTGTGTGTGTGTGTGTGTGTGTGTGTGTGTGTGTGTGTGTGTGTGTGTGTGTGTGTGTGTGTGTGTGTGTGTGTGTGTGTGTGTGTGTGTGTGTGTGTGTGTGTGTGTGTGTGTGTGTGTGTGTGTGTGTGTGTGTGTGTGTGTGTGTGTGTGTGTGTGTGTGTGTGTGTGTGTGTGTGTGTGTGTGTGTGTGTGTGTGTGTGTGTGTGTGTGTGTGTGTGTGTGTGTGTGTGTGTGTGTGTGTGTGTGTGTGTGTGTGTGTGTGTGTGTGTGTGTGTGTGTGTGTGTGTGTGTGTGTGTGTGTGTGTGTGTGTGTGTGTGTGTGTGTGTGTGTGTGTGTGTGTGTGTGTGTGTGTGTGTGTGTGTGTGTGTGTGTGTGTGTGTGTGTGTGTGTGTGTGTGTGTGTGTGTGTGTGTGTGTGTGTGTGTGTGTGTGTGTGTGTGTGTGTGTGTGTGTGTGTGTGTGTGTGTGTGTGTGTGTGTGTGTGTGTGTGTGTGTGTGTGTGTGTGTGTGTGTGTGTGTGTGTGTGTGTGTGTGTGTGTGTGTGTGTGTGTGTGTGTGTGTGTGTGTGTGTGTGTGTGTGTGTGTGTGTGTGTGTGTGTGTGTGTGTGTGTGTGTGTGTGTGTGTGTGTGTGTGTGTGTGTGTGTGTGTGTCTGTATAACGCATAACTCATGAACCGATACACAAAAAAACACCAAATTTTAAACTTAAGCTTTGTTTCAGCGTCAAATGAGCTGATTAGATTTTGGGCAGAGTCGGAACATCTGGGGGGGTACTTTATGGGTGGTCATTTTTATATTTTATGGAATATATCTGTTATTTACGTTTGGAGAAGAAAATTCTTTAAATAAAAGTTACTTCTAATATTATTATCTATAATTTTTGTTCTATACAAAATTTTCCTAAAATGGTCCGTATTCGAGAAATTTGACAAAATGTAAAAAAAATATTTTTTTATAAAAATTGTTCAAATAAAAGTTGTTTGTAATATAATTCTCTATAATTTTTATTTTCTACATAATTTCTCTAAAATAGACCGTATTCGAGATATTTGAGAAAATGTGTAAATTTCGAATTTTGAAAAAAACTCAAAAACGGATAAAGAAAAAAACATTAAATTTTAAACTTAAGGTTTATTTCGGCCTGACGTGAAATGATTAGATTTTGGACAAAGTCGGAACATCTGGGGGGGTACTTTATGGGAGGCCGTTTTTATATTTTATTGAATATATCTGTTATTTATGTTTGGAGAGGAAAATTGTTCAAATAAAAGTTACTTGTAATATTATTATCTGTAATTTTTGTTTTATGTAAAAATTTCCTGAAATGGTCCGTATTCGAGAAATTTGACAAAATGTGCAAAATTCTGATTTTTATTATGAAAGTTTTTGAAATAAAAGTTGTTTGCGATATCGATCTCTATAATTTTTGTTTATACATGATTTTTCTAAAATGGACCGTAATGAAAAAATTATAGGAAATTAAAATTTTTTAGTATTTTCGTTTTCCATGAATATCTATAGAAAAATGTTTCGAGGTAGATGTATATGGACAATGTATATATTTAGTTTATCCTCTAAACATTTATATAACTAGATAGGAAAGTCATGTGTTGGACACATCAGATTTTTAAATATTACAAGAAGTATCAAAATATCGCCTATGGAAGCATCAAAGAGTGATCCACAAAATAATTTTTCCTAAAAGTAGGTTTTGATCAACTGAGATAAGAATTATGTCTGTGGTAAAAAGAAGAATTCAACGCTCCGACATGCGTGAATTTTTCCAACCGACATGCGTGAATTTTTCCAAGGCCTACTTTAGGAACATTTGTTGTGGATCACTCCATAATCTAGGAGTAGATCAAACGTGCCGCCTCAGAGTGCTCTAGTACTGATTGATACCTATACTGGGCAACTACTTTTTGCCAAGGATCAGATGGTATACATCTAGATCCTCCTTCTTACCTTACCTCTAGGCTTTTCAATAATGTCTCATTTAAATGAATCTTAAACTGGTATGTAATTACCTGTCAATTATTAATAAAATATTGTCATCTAAAAACTGTAAAGCTAAATCCACGCCTTCATTTTCATTTGACGACACTGCTTCAAAAACTGTTAAAGCATCATATTTGGAAATCACAGATACGGTTACGACTAGTTCTCTCAAGTAACTGAAATTTTGAAAATATTATAAGGTAATGATTTATTTATCTTATGGAAAGCTATATATTCCGCATTTATGCTTTGATATTTTAAATTAATATATTAAAAATGTCTTACTTTTTCAGAACTTCTTTATCCGAAATACATCCAATTGCTGATAATAAAACTGTTTTTTTCGTTTGTGTATTTGTGTTCTGATAGAGATAGATTAAATAACTGTATTCATCAATTGCTTTTTCACTACGTTTAGCACCATAGCATAAAACTGTATCCCTTTCATTATAATTCTGGAAACTAAAAAAAAAAAATATTTTTTGGAAATGGGTACCTAATGCCTATCATTATTAATGTGTTGGATAAATAAATTCTTTTTTAAGAAAAAGTAGAAATATTTGGACTATTTTGTATACTGAATCAGTAGTAACTTACGTTTTTGATAGTTTGAACTCTTCATATTTATTTCTTGCATTAGTGAGACAGGTAGTATCGCCTAAGAAGCACTTCCAATTTAAAATTAAACTTTGCTTCATAATTTCTATGTGAAGCGTACTGTCTATTGCATGAATGTTTGGAAATGCTGTATTTATCCAGTTGAGAATGTTTTTCTAAAATATGCATTAAATCATAAAAAATAAATTTTCAATACCTAAAATATATAATATACAATCAGCCGCGGTCATATTCCTTCACGAAAAGGAGGGGGCATCAGGAAAACTCAATAAATATACCTATATTTTGTGAGAGCTCAAATGAGGGGCAGTAATTAATTATTTTTTAACTATGATGATTTATAATTTTGGATGATGGTAGCAGTGGCGGCTCGTGGGCACTAGCGGCAGTGGGGCACACACTGGAAAGGAATCCCGGGAATCGTTTTTCCCTTAGGAAAACAAGTTCTCCGCTTAATGAAAATTAAATATATTTCAAAACAATCAGTTGGGGCAATAAAGATTTCTGAATGTCACTACAGGGAGCTAAATGTGACCACTCAAAATGCATTTAACTATGTATGTGGCTTTAATCAAAAAATCATTACATATCCACTGTTGCGAAATTTGCGTAAATTTCTCAGATGAATGCAATTTACTTAACAATTCTAACTTGTTAACACATTTTAAAGCATACGACTCTGAAGAAAAGGTGTTTGGCAAAATAAAATCTCCCAGCGAAAAATTTCTCTTTTATATTTTCAAATTAGAAAAAATATTTATATCTCTATTTGATAGTTTGTCAACTAAGCCTGGAATTTCCAACACATACCTTTTTGATATTAGCAAAATAGAATTTGGTCATCCTTGCCAACAATTTGCGAAAATGTACACCATTAAATTATTTATAAGACTCAGAATTTTTTATACTCTTAAATATGCAAAGAGAGATTTGAAATCCTCGAAAAAGTCAGACAAAACCAAAAGAAAAATTAAAATTTTGTCCCATTTATAAATATTATTGATTTTTTTTCATCATATTTTTCTTTGTAGTTTTATTTCTTAACTATTTCAATGGTTTCGTAATAACAATAAATAAATTATTATCATGGTCCAACAAACGCGCACCTTAATCCGAAACCTACATCGCCTTTGTGAGGGAGCCGGTAAAGATGCCGCTGCGTACATTTGTATTATCTGGTCATTGTGATCTGGTCTAGGTAATTCGTGCCATAGGTAAAGCACGTCACGATGAGTACAGCGCCCTGCTTGTTACATCATCGCATGTGTTCATCTCTTACTAAGCGATATTGTCGTTGTCCTGGTTTTTCGCACCATAATTAGAGAGGAAACAACAGAGGCACACATTTACTGTACCATGTGCCCATCTAATTTAGGAATTCTCGGAACGTCGCTCAACGCCCGGTCGTCCAGTGTCGTGCCAACGCGGGTTGCGCTGAATATTAGATAAAATAATAATAGGCATTATAGGCATTGAGGAAAATATAAAATATGTAAGTTATTTTTTTTTGTTTATTATACTAGGGCACGTGCCCAAGTGCCCTTACGGGCAAACCGCCACTGGATGGTAGAGAAAAAATGTTCACTTAAGAATTTTAAATTTGGATTGTCAGCAAATATGATGAAATCATTTATTTTGCATTAAAAAATCTCTTCAGATGAATGATCACAAATACTTAAGGGTTATAGTTTTTAAGAGGAGGACATCATATAACAGTTAAGACGGCAATCTATAAATCCAACATAATCTCTAATTTCATTATTGTTTACGTATCTTAGAACCAGTCACATTTGAGATATGCCTACAGAGTGGAAGAAATGTCTAGTGTTCTCAAAAACGACACTGAAGAAGGCACTGATCAGTGCCGAAAGCTATAACCACACACACAGACACACGAGTTTCATTTGATCTACATACACCTAAAAACACCTAATGATGTAGAATTAAACATGCACGCATTTCAGTGTGTACAAGAAAAATTAAAAGGTCGTGCCGAATTTATGGTAGGCAATAGAGTAGAAATTGATACTTGGCCAAAATTAAAGGATGCCTTGTTACAAGCTTTTGCAGATCGACGTGATCTTGATTGTCTCATCCAAGAACTAAACCTCTTTGATAGAAATTTTCAACAAAATGGATTTTATTCTAATAATAACTGACAAAAAAACAATATAAATTTTAATCAAAATCACAATTTTAATTAAAATCACAATTATAATCAAAATCATAATTTTAATCAAAATCATAATTTTAATCAAAATCAAAATAGATTCCAAAATTTTGTACCAAATAATCAACAATTAAATACACGTTTTCAGAATTTCCAACAAACAGGCAAAATTTCCCTAGTCAGCCAATTAATGTAGAACCCGTTCCACAAAATAAAAATACTTTACAAACCGCCAGATATTTGGCCCGCAAAATAAAGTCGACCAAATCAGATTTCTGAAAGTCAGTTACCAAAACTAGTGCCGATGTCAACAACATCGCGAAATCCTAGTTTACAAACAATATTTATTTAAATAATAAATTTTTCCAAAACTCTGATCAAAATTCAAAACCAAATTTTGTTTTTAAAGAGTTACTGTTTAGGTTATGGTTAAGCTAGAGTATGTAACCCTGCCGATTGTGCCTCACGTGGCCTTCTCCCTACCGCATTTTTATCTCACTCATTATGGTTTGTTGGACCCCAATGGTTATCTTCCTCTTCTGAGCATTGGCCTGGACCCTCGTTTTCTACGGTTCCTTGTCCAGAAGAAAAGTCCCTGACATTAACTACTCTTATATCTCTGAATAACTCTTTGGATATTCTTTTAGAGAAGTATTCATCTTTGAACAAAATTAAAAGAATAATTGCCTATGTCCTACGCTTTGTCCATAATGATCAAAGACATTTGCCCAAGCGCACTGGCGCATTTTCAGCAACTGATTTGCATGAAGCCCTTTTGGTGTTAATAAAAAGAATTCAATATACTTCATTTTCTAATGAAATTGATCAATTAAATAGTAACACCCTTTCTAAAACATTTCGAAAACTAAATCCTTTTTTAGATAAGGATGGTCTGCTTAGGGTGGGGGGTCGTCTCCAATTTTCAGGCTTATCATACGATAAAAAATTTCCTCTCATTCTTCCTCGAAAGCATCGTCTCACAGATTTAATTATTGAATGCTTTCATAATGAACATTTTCATCCCGGATTGCAAAATCTCCATTTTCTCCTGTCCCAACAATTTTGGATTTTGTCTCCAAAACGGGCAATACGCCATGTCTTGTCGCGTTGTCATCGTTGCTTTAAAATAAAGCCTACCTCTTATGAGCCTTTTATGGGAAACTTACCCTTATCTCGTATCAATAAAATTAAACCTTTCTCATGTGTGGGGGTCGATTACGGAGGTCCGTTCTTTGTTACTCCTCTTAAAGGCCGTGGTATTAAGACTCACAAGGCATATGTTTGTCTGTTCATTTGCTCGACAACCAAAGCAATTCATCTTGAACTTGCTAGCAGTCTTTCTAGTGCCTCATTCATTGCAGCTCTACGACGATTTGTCGCTCGACGCGGTAGATGCTCAAAAATATTCTGCTGTTTAGGTTATGGTTAAGCTAGAGTATGTAACGCGCAAAAGAAAATTAAAGCCTTGCCAGTCAGGTCCTACCTTTAAGTTTCCCGGCTTCCTGATGCTTACTTCTTTCCTGGGCGCGTCCACCCTATGCTGCAGGGGTCGTGGACTGTATATTAGGGGCTGGTGTTTGACGGGAATGTAGAACTACCGGTTTTGTATCTAATAATCGCAAGCTTAAACAGATCTGTATTTTACGACACTCGAGGCGATACTGATTTCTGCCCGGTCGGTCGAATTTTTACTCGTTCTTCGCCACCGCGGATATGGCCGTTTACTCATTAGGGCAATACCGTCTTGGCAAAGTATAATATTGGGAATAATAAATATATATGATATATTACGTTATATACTGGATGATAATTTAAATTTATATTAAATAAGTGAAGACTTAACAGTTACATTCAAACCAATATAGTAATTCTAACCTAACAGATTTGTACCATAATGATTGCGACAATTTAGATCATTATCAAAGTCAAAATCATGAATTTGATAATGAACAAATTTTTAATGGACATATAAACGAAGAAGACAGCTCAAATCAAAATTTTCGGGCTGCCGGCTCGTCAAATGTGAAACGATAATAGAAGTAAATAATTTTTCGAAAAACCCTTCACCACACATAGAAATTTCTCACCCTAGATTAAAACTTCTGATAGATACAGGTAGTTCAGTATCAATAATAAAACCTTCTATTATCGAAAAATTTTATCCAGATACTATTTATCACTCAAATGTTGTGATAACAACGAGTTACGGTAGTAAGAATTTAAGATACGAAGGATCGGTTTACGTATTCCCAGAATTTAATCGCAATCATTATCATATCAATTTCATTTTATACGATTTTCATCATTATTTCGACGGAATATTAGAATAACAGATTTAAAAAATATGAACTTGAATATCGACATCATTAATCAAAAGTTAGTCGGATATAATGTAGAAATACCCTTCAAATATAGGAAGGAAAAGGATGTTAAATTTTCATTCTCAACGGTGAAATTTTTGTTGAAGTGCAAAGTATTGAAAACATTTTTATTCCACAAGTTATAACGACCGCAAAAGAAGGATTCGCCCCAATTGAAATTCCATTTAAATATAGTCCAGTCAAAGAAAAAATACTTTCTTGTTGTGAAGTTATGAAAAAAGATAAAATGGAAGAAAATAATTTAGGCACTATTCCTTATAAACTAAATAAAAATATATCGGAACTCAACAATTTTGAAACTATGGAAGATATTTGTTTTGAACCAAACATGTCTTAACTTTTTGAAACCGAAAATATTGATAATAATCTACAAAAAATCAACAGTAATTTATATAAAAATAATTTAGGAGACAATGCAGTATCTTAAAATAAAATGGAGGAATCTAATACTTTAGAAAACGAATCTTTAAATATAAATGATATCAACAAAATAGTTCATGAAGAGCTAGTAGATTATTTTCCTAAATTAGATCAAAAAATTGATATTATAGATAAGGAACAAATATTTGATTTAGGTCAACTATACAAATTCAGAGTTATGCCG